CCTTCTTTTCTTCCTTCCCACGCAGCCTTCCTGGATAAACTGGTTTTACGCACTTGAATGATTTTTCTAAGCTTCGAGGGCTATGCCTTTGCTGGATGTTGTACTCAGCTGGTTTTCAAGGGGGCTTCCTCAGGGCAGTCCAGAGGCAAAGATCCCCACACCAACGCTGGCCTACGTAGGACAGTGTGACAGTGTGACCTGCCTTCAAGGACTCCCAGGAGTTGGGACAGTGCCCCATCCACAGTGCTGGGGATAGACCCTCTCCTGGTGTCCTGACTGCCTCAACCACCAATCACTTTGGAGCAACCAGAGGTGGAGAGAGCTCGGTAAGAACTGACATTGGATTTCCCATCCACCTGACCAGATGGGAGCTCAGAACAGATTCAAATCAGATTCGGAGAAACGTAAGAAGCCTAATTATTTCTTGAACGTGAGTATTGTGGTGGATGCAGACTCATACCTGACAGGTCTGCATATCTCATCAACAGGGGTTTGGTTTTGTTTTTGAGGGGAGAATAGGGGGAAAAAAAGCTGTGAAATTCTTGATTTCATCCTGATCGAGATGTCTCCCTTACAAGCGGCAGTGGTAGGAATGGACAAAATCCTCTCAGGGTCAGCTTCCTTATGAGGAGATCACACTCTGCCGTTCTGGAGATCTGAGTCTCCTCAAAGCCCAAAGGACATCCTCAAGGCTCACTGGGCCAAAGGGTACAAAGCGTGTGGGTTTGATGTCAGACAGCTCTAGGTTCTAGCCCCGCATCAGCCCTGGACAGCTACGTGACCTTGGGCCTGTGTGTGTGACCTTGGGCATGTTTCCTTAGTTCCTCTGAGTCTCAGGTTCCTGAGTACATGGGGATAATAACATTACCTCGTAGGATGCTTGTTTGATTAGAAGAAATCACGTCTACACAGCACTTAGCTTCATGTCCAACACATAATGGGAGCTCGATAGATGGCAGCCGCTGATTTAGTTATAATTATTACTGTGAGTTGCCACTGGAAAGCCTTTAGTGGGGAGGATGTTTTCACTCGACTGCCTTCCTCTGAATCCCCTACTCTGACACCAACAGGAAGGCCAAAGGATCTTTTCATTCCACTTGACACAGACCCATGAGGGCTGCAGGCACAACTGGATCGGTCATGAGGTGTCGAGTCCAATCTCTTCACAGATTCCAGGGGTCTCCCGAACTGCTGTGCAAAAGTCCCAGGCTGCCAGCAGTAACCTTTTCCATGATATAAATGCCACCAGCCTGGCCTAGCTCATTTAAAACCACCAGCTTCCAATTATCTTCCGGCAGGGCTCCAAGCGCTTCCTTTTGGGAAGCTGAAAAGTAATCATAGTTATCATTCTAAATTGGCACCTTTTCTATTGATTTCCACATTATCATAGCACAAGGGGGCTCGGCAAGAACGTGGGCTAAGAATCATTATTTCTATTGGGTATTGTTAGCTATTTTTTCCGTTCACAAAAATAGGGACCACATGTGTTGGCAAAAAAGGGGAAGCCCTTAATGACAAAGGAACCGCCTCTGGTATCGTTCTGGTTTGATGGCCAATCTCTCTGCTGTGCTATTTTTCAGTTCTTTCCCCGTTTTCGGTGGCCTTATTTTTCAAGCATATAATACTGATGTTGTTGCCCTTCTTGGCACCACCGCCAACCCCAAATTATAACAAAAAGGATGATCTAAGTTTTCATACGCCCCACAATGAAATTTTTAGAAGGTTTTGTTAAATTGAGGCACCGTGTATGTGGATTCCATTATCGGTTGGAAGACTCATCCTGGTTGTTTAAGATTTTCTGTCTGAAACCGTATCTCTTTCTGTACCCCCAGAGTCAGGCCTCCAGCCAGAGGGGTCCAGCTGTTCTTGAGAATCATCTTCCAACAGAAGTGAAGCTTCTCTGGGACCCTAGGCTGGGGCACCTGGGCATGTTCTTAGAGGAATTTAACAGAGCACCAGGAGGAAAAGATGTAGCCTCAGAACTGTGCAAGAAGGGATAAAACTAGTGGAATTCTGTGAATAGGACAGAATAGTTTTATAATGATGACTACCATTTATTGAGCAATTTGAGGTGCTGGGCACCATCTGAAGCCCTCTGATTAATATCAGCAAACAAGCAGTGGGTGCTCCGCAGGTGCCAGACTGTGCTAAACATTTTACATGAATTACCACTTCATCCTCACTGAAGCCCTCTTCTCACTGCCATTTTATGGCCGAGGAATCCGGGACTCAGTGTTGCAGCCACTGGCTGTGCTCATTCAGCAGGTGTGTGCCATTTCACGCTGGGCTGAGGGGAAGTCCAGGGATGTGGTCATTGTATGGAGATCAAGAGGGATGAACCAATGAAACTGCAGTCAGTGTGAATCAATACAGAACAGATACAGGTGACTCTTCCCAGGGGACAAATGCTTAAGAGCTGTGTGTAAATGTAGTTAAGATTCAGGTTTTTTATAAATCTCAGTGAGAAAAACCCCTTCTTCCCCCATAAGGGTGGGTACCATCCATGTAAGGAGCAATTAGGAAGCTCTAACTGAAAAAAAAAAAAAAAAAAAAAAAAAAAAGGAAGCTCTAACTGTGCAAACTGTAACATAATGGCCAAAGGAAAATAGTTTAAAGGTGATGGATCTGTAAGGCTCAGTGAGACTTCTAATTTGTTCTGAAAAAAGGAGGTTTGGTCTCCAGGTGATGGGGGAGCATGGCCAGTGGTGGTGCCACAGTTGCTGACGCTCTTCTGGAAGGCGGTGCTTCTTCAACATATCCAGCAAGCTTCCCTGATGGTGGAGGCATACTCATACTCCCGAGATCTGGGCATTGTCCCAAAGTCTTCTATTTTGGGTTAAAGATTATTTTAAGAATTTTGCACAGCACTCTACCCATATCTCAGAAAATGGGATGTAAAGAAGATGATTGGTGTTTGCCCTCTGTCCTTCACTGCCTGCACTCTCCCGGTTTGCATATCACAGACTGAGAAGATAGCTCCAATGGCCACCAGCTCTCCTTCCGACAGTGTCTTACCTCCCACAGATTGGCTTTTACGTAATGAAAGACCACACTGGCCAGAAAACCTGCGTTTTCTGGCCCACGTGGTCAGCCAGCTTCTCATTGCAGGTTTGTAAAGTTCGAATCCTTGATAAAGCAGTTGTTGTGAGCCTAATCAGCATGAGTCAAGTTCCCAGAAGCTGATCACCATGGAGTGAATAGATGAGACAGATATTCTGCACCTGCCAACCTAAGGACATGCCCTTCCAGTGATGACAGCGCCCCATGCAAACACAGCCACCCCACCCCAGAGGTTCGGTTCAAAATGAAGCTCAGTCTCGCCTGCTAAAGCTTAGCCAACGGGAAAGGTAAGGCTAGACACTGACAGTCAGAGGGAGGGAACTGACAGGAGCAGGGTCAAGGGGAGATGGCTCAGTGACTTGGAGGAGAGGAGGAATCTGGAGCAGAGGAGACCAAGAGGAAACTCACAATAGTGTGCAGGCTACGGAGTCACACAGCATAGCAGCAATTTATCAAGTGTCTGTGTGGTGTGGACTGTGGAGGGTCGGGGTCAAAATTATCACGAGGGTCTACAAGCCCAAAGGTGTCCCAAATCGTCTACTGCAGATGAAAGAAATAATATGGACGAGGAGGCAATGTAACAGCACAAGGGAGTACAGCATGCTGGTTAAGAACATGGGCCCTGGTGCCCACTGCCCGGCTCTGGGTCCCAGCTGTGCCCCTTTCTGGCTTGTGTGACTTGAACAAGTGTGTAACCTCAGTCCCCTCAGCTGTAAAATAGGGATAAAACTAGCACCTGCCTCAGTGGCTTGTAGTCAGGACTAAACAAATGAGCTAGCACAGTTAGCATATGCATACACAGGATCAATACCGAAGAACAGTAAAACAATAAATGTCGGCTTTTGCTTATGTGATTACACATCACAAGGACAATTTATGAAGCTCTGCTAATGAGTAACCCTTGGGGCTACGCCATGGACTATGACAAGGGTGGAATCTATACACGCACAATGCATTGCTTATTATCATCCATGGTTTATCCAACGTTTTATTTTTATTTTACTTTATCCTTTTTTAAAGATTTTATTTATTTATTTGACAGGGAGAGCCAGAGAGCACAAGTGGGGAGAATAGCAGAGGGAGAGGGAGAAGCAGGCTCCCCACCGAGCAGGGAGCCTAACTCAGGGCTTCATCCCAGGACCCTGGGACCATGACCCAAGCCAAAGGCAGATGCTTAACTGACTGAGCCACCCAGGTGCCCCATCCATCTTCTAAAAAAGATATCTCTAGAAGCTCCGATAATGAGTGAAATGCACACTAATTAAAATTCTTATTTAAATCGTGGAATCTTTTAGTCACTGGGTGCTTTCTCAGATGCTGAAGTGCACTTACCAGCAAATGAAACGGGCATGGCTGACATTGCTGCAGCATTTACTGTGTGCCTGGCATTCTTCTAAGGGCCTCAGATGTATCAACTCGTTTAATCTTCACAACAACCCTAGCTAGTAGGTTATTTTTTGTTGTTGTTGTTTATGTCACCTGTAGAGAACTTAAGTGACATCTCCAAGGCTAGTAAATAGTGGAGCAGGGACTCAACATCAAACCACACACTGCCTGAGCCTCTGCTCTGAGCCACCAGGCACATGGCTCCGTCACACGCAGCTCTGCAATGTGTTCTGACATTTAAAATGGGTCCTCACACTTGGAAATGCAGGAAACCACCAGTGCATGAAGAATATGGTCAACCCTTTACAGGAGGGACAGTCGAGAAGGAAATTCATTCTAAAATGTATTACGGTTTGATGTAAGGGCTTCCCATGTGCTTGTGCCCACAGGCTCAGGCTTGGATCATGGGTAGAGGATGGGATGAGAGCCCAGAAGACTTTGTCTCCAAATCCCAAGGTGGTTTGTCCCGGGAAGTCCCCGCTCTGAGACCCTTGTGGGAGTACGCTGGGCAGAACTAACCTGCTGATGGCAGGTGGGTGGAACATTGGACTTACCGGCCGAGGCAGACTGTACTGGTACATTTCTGGGCGATAGGTGGGCACCCACTGCACCCCTGCCCTGGGCCGCGTCATGGTCCCCGGAGCGCTGGTCACCACCTCCGAGTAGGGCAGGTGCTGTGCTGAGCCGTAGGCTTCCTGGTGCCGGCTCTGGCCTGCGTGGCCCGCGGACGCCAGGCTGAAGGCCTCCTCCAGCAGCATGTGCATCTGCTGCCTGACCTCATCGATGGAGGGCTGGGAGCTCAGCGTGGAGGTCTCTGAGTGGCCTTTCACCTGCCTCGACCTGGCGTAGCCCCGGGGCTCGTTAACTCTGTCAATGTTGGTTTCCTCTATGATCTCAGGCTCCGTCTGTGGGATCGAACACATGCCCATTGATTTGTTAGTGAACTTTTCCTTCCCATCAATGTTGTCTGCACTTTACCCTAAAATATTTAGCTTGAACATATGCTATTAGGTATAGTGTTCATTTATGTTATCACCCAGGGACCCCATCCAGAAATTCACCCCACAGGGGTGGTCAGCTAGCATTGTGTTCCTAAGGCCACATGCCAGCTCTCCAGGTGTGCTCCACTGGAGCTCAAGGGATGCAGCAGGCTTTGCTAACTGGCCTAAGGATGATGAGAAATGGCTTTTCATTGACATTAGTGGTATGGACCCTCATACCTTTCAGGTAAAAGAATCAAGAGCCTAAAAAAAAAAAAAGAAAAGAAAAGAAAGAAAGAATCAAGAGCATCTGGTAGTCTATACCTCAATGGTTGATGCTCTAGACTCTGGACTAACTCTCTAAACGGTCCTGTGTTGAGCCATTTAGGGACCTGCTGGCTGCCCTATGCCAGTTTTATCAGAGAGAGCAACAGAATCCTGCTTCTAGAACACTGATCTCAAAGTGTGGTACACTGAATCAGAAGCTCTGGAGCAGAGCCCAGCACCTTGCGCTTTAGCCAGCCCTTCAGGAGACTCTCGTGCCTGCTCAAGTTTGAGACCAACTGATCTAGAATGTTCTCTTGTTTTCCTCCAGTGAACTTTTCACTTAGGAAGCAGCAGCACAACCTAAGTGGGCAGAGGCTGGGGTGTCATCAGCTTTCAGAGCAGGCTGCGCAGACTATCTTAGGCTTGCCTGCTGATGAATGCTTATTGAGTAAGTCTGCCTGCATCTTGGTCTCTTGATCTGAGACTTGCTTTTGTGGTACCCTGAGAGTGAGGTTGTGGGAGAGTCCTAGGTCCACATCCACTCAAGCATGTTCCATGGCTGCTATTGTCTGCTAAAATAACTTGAGGGTTCCGTGAGAGTAAATCAGCATAGATCAGTTTGCCATCCTGCTCTCCATCCATGACATAAGTGAAACGCTGCCACTTTAGCAAAATGAAACAATACAGATAAGAGGGGAAAAAAACCCTAAAAATCCATTAACCTTTGGTATGACTTATTCCACTCCCAAGCCTATCTAGGTGTGCCTGTAAACTCCTCCTCTGTACACACATACCCATTTAAAAAGATTTATGTATTTATATCCTGGTTCTGGGTGATTATTATTATTTTACATAAAATGAATCTGCTCCTACCTGGGTGCCATAATTTAACAGCTGGGTGATCTTGGGCAATGTCTTAGCTTACATTCTCCCATAAAGCAGGACCTGAGACATCCTTTATATACAGATCATTGATTTTGGAAAACAATTCCAGGGAATAGGAGTCAGGGCCTAGAATGAATAAACTGGGGGAAGGGAAAAAAAGCCAACCAAAGACAAGTACTAAATCAGTGATTGCTGTGGGCAACTGAGGCTTAATCCCCCTGGGGATCCACCAAGGACCCATGCAGAACATGGTTTAGGACTGTATAGCAAAATTTTGTTCACCAGCTCTCATCCCCCATCTGTCAAGAGTTGCTCCAGAAAGTGTCCTTGCACTCTGAGATCTGTGCAGGTGCCACGTGGGTGCGATGGGCTCCCATGGAGATATCCCTTGCAACAGAGACAGAGAAGCCTCAGTGCAGAAGCAAAAGCTAAGTGACTGCTAAGGTGACATGGTCAAGTTGCTGCTGCGGCGAGCAGATGCTGTAGCAAGGCCAGACCTAAAAGGTGTGTTGAGAAGATAGAAGCCAGGGCATAAAAGATGTTCCAACCAGGAAAGTGACTTCACTTTCTCTTGTGTCAGTTCCTCATCTGGAAAGTGAAGAAAGTAGCATGTGCCTCCAAGGGTCTTCCAAGCATTAAGTCCACTGATACATATAAAGGTAATAACGACAGGGTGACAACAGTGACTACCGTGTTTTGCTGTACACCCTGTCGTTATTACCTTTATACATTCAACTGCACCCGTTTCTCATCTACTTGCTGTGCACCAATCTCTTGGATCTATGAGATAGAGCACACCATGAAAATGTCTCCAGAGAACTCATTCATAAAGGGATCTTTCTCTCCTTAAAATCTATATGTGGAAGGTCAGAAATTTGTTATCTTTCCTATTTTGAAAACTTATTCACTTTCCTTTAGTATTAAATGAACATAAGTGGATTAGAGAAGAAATAGAAAAGACATAAAACACTGAGAAGTGAGACATTTTCTGTAATCCTATCACCCAGAGTCAAGGCGTGGCCATGGTTCAAGATCAAAAGATGAGGTTCTCTGTCAATCCTTCTGGTCTAGATTTATCAACAAACATCTCCAAGTAAGAATTGAGAACATGGTTTTTATAGGAACACAAGCAAAAATAGCTTATGGAGTAGAATGCAAAATTACTTTTGCCACGATAAACACACTCAAAGGCATTTCATACCTGGGTGCCTGCCCCCATGGGGCTCTTACAAATTGGGGATCTTTAGGGAAAGGCTGGAGATGGCTCTCCTGGAAACATGCTCCCTGATGGCATGGTGACACCTTCTAGGGTAGTGAATTCAACTTCTGAAAACAATTTTCCCTTCACAACACAGCGGACATTTTGGACAACATTTCAGACCCTGGAAGGATTTTAGGAGACCATGGAATCCAAGCCCCATTTTATAGATGAGGCAGTCAAGGCCAGGGTGGTTTAAGGGACTTATCCAAAGTCCTCCATGGGTGGCGGTGCAGAGCCTTGCTCTCCCAGCTCCCGTCCCTTGACATCTGGCTGCACCACGTTGCCTCTTACATTTCCCCATCGATGCTGGTTGCTACCCACATGCTGCCTTTCCTCTCTACATCCCAGTCTCCCTAATAAATAATGGATGCTTAATGCTAAACTACTCCCAGGTGGAAGATTAATGGCACTGGGGGGAGCTACAATTTTTCCCACCCCTGAGCTGTGCTATGCATTTCCAGTCATATTGGTGGATCTGTTATGTGAATTTATAGTTGTGCCTTAAGCAGGGCAAAAATATACTTCTTAGCAACAACTCCCTGTTCTGCCAATCTCCCAGGAGCTCTGGGGTAGGGCCGTGCCAGCTTGGGGGGTTCTTCGAGTAAGGTTGGTGGGGAGATATGACCTTTGCTGAGAAGGTAGAGACACTTTCTCCAGGCTCCCACTGCGTCCACCCCATAACTTCCCCAGCAGAAGTCAACCTCTGCTTCCCACCCCAGAGTTTCCATTTTGTATGGGAGGAAGCTTCCTTTTTGCTGGAGGGCCCAATGTTCAATACCCCAAGTGACCTCAGTAGGTTTGCTCCAGCCTCTTCCTGTCTTCCCACTGTTCTCACATGGTTTTTCAGTCTCTAGACATCTACCGATAGAAACAAGACAAACTGTCATTATACCCTGGGCTCCCCCCTCATCACACTTGTATTTGCTTATTTAATATCCATCTTGCCCAAATCTGGAGGCTCCCTGAGCCCATCTTACCTATCTCTTAGGAGCTTAGCATAAGGCACATGGCATACTCAAAAAAACTTTGGGAAATTAAACCAATAAGAAATTCTGTCTAACTGCCCATGGGGTAGACCATGAGGTTAGGATAAAGGGCCCACACTCCCTGACACATTCACTCCAATGCTGATGAGCTGTATAGACAATGGGCAAGTCACATGAACTCCCAAAGCCTCAGTCTCCTCATCTGTCAAATGGAGGTGCTAAACTTTGATCTGGGAAGGACCTTCTGATTCTCACATTTACTGTTTCTTGAACTCTATGTGCTCCAGGAGGCCCGGGTTCCTCTTCCTATCTTCATTCTTGGGGGAATCTCATGTCTATTCATGAAGGAAATAGGCCTGCCCAACTTCCTTCCTCACCTTGAAAGATGTGAGCAGTGATAAATTTGCTCTCTTATTTACTAGACAAATATTATTTCAATGAGGCCCTGTATTGGGAGTTGTGGATACAGCCAATGAATAAGATGGTGACCCACCCCTCAAGAAGCTCCTAGTCTATAGGAGAAGACAAACAGCAAAGACAACAGCAATAATCATACCAGCTAACATTTATTTATAGCTTATGTGCCAGGCACTGTTTTAAGTGCTTTATATATAGTCACTCTTTTTCTTTTTAAGTTTATTTATTTATAATATCTATACCCAATGTAGAGATTGGAGACTTTGAGATCAAGATCACAACCTTGAGATCAAGAGTTGCATGCTCTACCGAGTGAGCTAGCCAGGCACCCCTCATTCTTTTTCTCTCAATAACCTATGAGGTAGCAAGTATTATCCTTATGTTGTTATAGATGAAGAAATTGGGGCATTGAATATGTTGCCTATAATTGGCAGAGCTGGAATCTGAACCCAGAGAGTCTTATTCCAGCCCCCAAGCTGTTACCTATTGTACATACCTAAACAGATTGATTGCCATACCACCGATATGGGCTGTGACAGATGGGACAAACAGACTTCTGTGAACAGGAGGACAGACCATAAGATAATTACTAACAGATTCCTTGAAAAATGGAAAACACCCATATATACACAGAAAGCTCTTCTAAGAGTGAGCATTTAATAATTATTAGCTGCTGTTATTGTTGTTATGTGCCTCATCGCATAGATGGGGATGAGCTCCTACAGTGCTGAGCCTACGTCTCAGGCCTATATCTACACTCTCTAATCTAAGCCCAAGCCCAAAGCTGGAAGCAGGAATCATCTGATGATCTGAGAGATTGTCAGATGTCCCGGATGAGTGACAGAACTTCACATAGCAGGTGCTCAAATCTACTGGAAGACCTGTCATGGGCAAGCCTTGACCTGGGTTTTCCTCACCCATCCCCGAGGACCAGATGGTTGTAGCCATTTTCCAGATAAGGCATATCATGTCTATACTCGCTCAACTTGCTTACCTTGCCCCAAGCCCTTCTCCCTAACTTGCACATCTCTGAAAATACCTTTTGCTTTTATTTGACACAAAGGGGGAGACAGAAGCAAAGACAAACCTCCTGGTGTTGGCTGCTGGTT